CCAGGCCAGCCATCGCGCCCATCAAAACATAGGCATAGATTTTGTACCGGTCGATCGCGATACCAGTCAGCTCGGCGGCCTGAGGCTCCGATCCGATGGCAATGGAGTAGCGGCCAAAGTGGGTTCGCGTTAGCAGCAACCAACCGGCCAGCATGGTCAGCAAGCCAATGCACACCGGAATTGGCAGGAACCAGCTGATTTGTCCCCGACCGATATTGGTGATGAGATCAGGATAGCGCGCCAGGACCAAGCCTTTGGCCAGAACCAGCGCAAAGCCGCGATACACCAGATCCATGGCCAAGGTGCCGATCAAATCAGGCACTTTGAACTTGGTAATGATCAAACCATTGATCAGTCCCATAGTGGCGCCCAAGGCAATGGCAACCGAAACCCCGGCCCATGCTGGGAAGCCGTAAACCTTCATCAGGAAGCCAGCGATGATCGTGCTGAGTGCTGCGACGGACCCAATCGACAAATCAATGCCGCGCTGGGTGATGACGAAGGTCATCGCCATGGCCATCGGCATATAAAGGGCCGATTCCAGCAAGATGATTTCGAGATTGGACAAGCGGAAATAGCGTGCTGGCTCCAGGATTGCCATGACCAGCAAAATCGCCGCGATCATCGCCACCGGCGCGATGATGCCCATGTAGGGTTCGAGCCGCGTTACGCGCCATTGGGGGGAGACGCGACTGTTGTATTGGTCACCGGACGGGTGGTCATCTCGTGCTTCTCCTGCTCAGGCGTCTTCGGACGCGCCGACGATCATGCCCAGAACGTCTTGCGTGGTAACATCTTGGGTCTTGACGACGCCGACCCGCTTGCCGCGCCGCATCACCTGCACGCGGTCGGCCACCTCAAAAACATCGTCGAGCGAATGCGAGATCAAAATGATGGCAAGGCCTTGCTCGCGCAGAGTCTCAATCAGACGCAGGGTTCGCGCCGTTTCTTGCGGCCCCAGTGCGGCAGTCGGCTCATCCATCACCAGAACCCGCAGGTCCGAATGGTAGACAGCGCGCGCAATGGCGATGGCCTGGCGTTGCCCGCCAGACAGGCTCGCGGCGGGGCTGTCCATATCCGGCAGGCGTACNCCAGCATAGGCGTCCAGATCGACCCCATTGAGTGCAACCACGCCACCAAACCTTTTGGTGATGTCGCGCATGGAAATAACAGGCTTTTGGTCGGCCAAGTTCCCGGCCCTCCCTTTGATACTTCACACCCTCTTGATGGGGCTGACATCAGCTTATGTTATCGATATCATTCGTCAATGGGGTATCGGTAACATTTTTCAT